CCCCACCCTCCCCCAGGTCCCAGACACTTAGAGACACATACCACCCCTAGCCACCAGACCCCATCCTCTGCCTTGTCCTGGGGAGACCCCCCCAAAACCTGGTCCTGTCTATAAAATAGTTACTGCTTTAGACCTTTTTGCTCCTGGGGACACCCCCCCCATCCCCACAAGGGTTTGGGAGTAGAGCACATGCTAACTTTGCACCAGGAAAAGAGATCTACTTCTGCATCTTGTAACCCAGGTGAAACTAGGCCACTCCGGCCCCAGGCCCTCCACTTCCAGAGGGACCAAGCAGCAAATCCACCTTACCGAGGTGACCCACAGCGGGGCCGGGATGTGGCTCCCCTCCCCATTGCCATGTTTGGAAGTGTTGGGAGGACGGTGCTGCTTGACTCTGGCCATGACCTGGGCAGACACCCACTATAGCACTGAGGGGTAGGGGGGAACCCCACGCTTGGCATAAAAGGCCTAGAAGCCCTCAGTGGAAGCCACATTTATTTCTTTCCAAAAAACCCCTCAAAACTAGTTGCCACCTTCAGGGAACCAACATAGCTGACGCTCCAATAGTTTTTCAGATTTTTGTGTATTGACCTTGTACATTGTCACTTCTCTAGGGTAATTTATTAGCATGAAAACCTTCTTAAGGAACTTCTGGAATTTCTTATATATGAGATAATTTCTGACTGGTAAGATCTGTGTGTCCAATCACTGTTGGAAAAAGCTATATTCAATAAAAAGGTTTTGGTCTTGTTGAGTACCGTACAGTTGGAACTGACCCGTATCTGACCCTCCAGTGGCTTTTCACAGACAGTTAATTGCACGAGAGGAGATAGTGAATTTAATTAGGCATTCTCCTGAGTAGGTACGGTCACCAAGACTATTTTCCACCTGTCCATCATTCTTTGTTTTTTCACTTTCATGTTCCAGTTGCTAATTGTTATCCATGCATCTTGATTCCATGTATGATAAAATTTCAGACTGGAGAAGCTGGTAAAAATCCTAACTGGCCTCACCTTTGGTATTAGCTGTTGGTGCAGAGTTGTGAATCATCATTGTATTAACGGTCTTCCTTAGGAAGACAGATATTATCACTGGTGATGGTGCATTGGAGGTAGATCTTGAAGAGTTCTTTTTTTACTATGAATAGGATGCTATTTGTCTTCAGTTTGTCATTCTTGGCATAGTAGACCGTAATGAGTGTCTGATTCACACTGGCCAACACCAGCCTATTCCTCCTCATAAAGCCCAGCCTCCCGAATGATCTGTTCTGCGTGTAGAGTGAAAAGATACGGAGAACAAATATTGCATAATGCCACTGTTGTAAAAAGGGACTGACATTGGAGTTGGGGGGAATCCTAAGAAAAGAGGGGATAAATAAAGTATACTGCATTGAAATAGATGAGGGAGAGAACTGTTAAAAGGAATATATGATGAGGTATTATTTGCATGACAAGATTCCAGAAAGAAGAAATGTGTAATGAGTGCAACAATGAATGAATGGAAATCCAAAAATCTCTGTAAATGTTCATTAAAATGAATAAAATTAAAAAAAGAAATGCATAATAAAGTAGACTGTGGACTTGGGGGGTGGGGTGGAGGATTGTATAATAATGAAAGATTTTTTTCTCTTTGTAAAGAGAAAAGCGAACTGGGAGGAGGGGAAGGATGGGCAGGGAGGAAAATGTGCAACAATGAATGAATGAATGAGAAAAAAAATTAAATGGTAAGAATATTCTGTAAAAAAAAATTATTTTTTAAAAAATAATTTTAGTGAACATTTACAGAGATTTTGGATTTCCATTCATTCATTGCTGCACTTCTCTCCCTGATGCCACATTCCTCTTCATAAAGCCCAGCTTCCCAAATTATCTGTTCTGCATATAGATTGAAAAGGTATGAAGACAGGATGCATCCCTGACACTCTGCTTTACTGGTTTTGAACCATGTAGTGTTTCTTTGCTCTGGTCTGGGGGCTGCTTCCTGGTCTATATATAGGTTTTGCATGAGCATAATCACGTGTTCTGGGATTCCCATTCTTCTAAAGGTTAGCCACAGTTTGTTGTGATCCACATAGTCAAATGCCTTTGTATAGTCAGTGAAACACAGATAGACTTTCCTCTGGTGTTCTCCTTTCTGCCAAGAGCCATCTGACACTGGCAATAAAGTCTCTAGTGCCATGACCTCTTCTAAACCCAGCTTTTATTTCTCATAATTCTCTGTCCGTGTGAACTGGAAAATTGATCAAAAAGACAAATTGCATTGGGGAAAAAAATCTGCTGTCAGGGACCTCTCCAGAGTACTGAGAAACAACAGTGTCAGTCCAGAGACTAAGTGTGCCTGATCCAGGCTATGGTCTTTACAGTTACTTGCTGTGCATCAGAGAGCTGGGCACTGACTAAGGATGACAGAAGAATCAATGCCTTTGAGTTGTGGTGCTGGAGACTAATCTTGAAAATACCATGGACCACCAAGAAAACAAATAAGTCTGTCTTTGAGAGGGTGAAACCAAGTTTCTCCTTGGATACTAGGATTTGGGAGCTCCATCTCACATAGGGCACATGACCAGGAGGGACCAGTCCTTGGAGAAGGGCATCATTCTTGGAAGGGTGGAGGGACAGTGCATGAGAGGAAGACCCCAGATGAGATGGATTGATACTGTAACTAGGGCAGTGGGGGTAGACTTGAGCAGGTTTCAGAGCTCTTGGACATAAGGTCCCTAAGAGTTGCAGGCAGCTCGATGGCACACAGTAACAAATCACACAAGGGTTGGGACATCTGGCTGTGTAATAGTAAGAAGCTGCCCTGCAATCCCCAAGGCACATGATTCGATCCACCAGCTACCCCACAGGAGAAGGATGGGAAGTCTCCTCTCGTGCAATTTACTGCCTCCGAAAACCCACTGGAGGGTCAGCTATGGATCGGTTCCCTCCTCGTGGCAAACGGCCACAAATCACCTGAAAGGACATTGCCTGTCTTTCTCTCTCAGGTGTAGCTGGTGGATTGGAACCATGTGCCTTTGGGATTGCAGTGCAGCTTCTTACCACTAGGCCACCAGAGCTCCCTAAAACTATTGAAAGTATTAGTGTCCTGAAAAGAGATGCCTTTTGCCTGAGCTATTATTTAGATGTTAGCTTTCTATTAACTTTTATTTCTGTCGCAGTAGTTTTAATTGTTTTGTTGCTAGCCTGTCCTAGTTTAAGGCTAAGTGAGGAAGGTTCTGTTCTGCTTGGAATAGGATAAGTGGTCCATGTGTAATCTGGAGGGTAGGCCTCAGGGCTACAGCACTGTGTGTGAATGTCACTGGGAAGGGAGGATATTGAACTCAGTTGTAATTTACACTGTGGGAATGTTATGCCCTCCGGGGTGAGTGGGCAACAGGAACCATCTTTCCCCATGGAGAAGTCCTGTGTGGATCTGTGTCTGTGTCTATGTCTGTGTTGGGGGTTGGGCATGGCATGGGAAAATGGATGTGTTCATTCTAAGCATTTACTCTTGTAATTTGTGCTTTCAGGATTGATTGTCTCAGGACTGATCTTGCCTGACAGAGACATTTGAAGAAAGAGAACTTGAGGATGATTCCGTCTCAGGTAACTGTCATATTTCACCTTGATTGCTCTTTACTCTCCTTCCTGAAATGATACACTGAGAACCTGCTCACCCCCTTGGACTCGAACGGGTCCAGTCTGGTGTCTTCGTTCACACTCGCCCGGGGTCTTCCCTCCATCCTCTCTCACCTCCACATGGGTTCCTTTCCAGGATGTGATGCAGTGACCTGGGATTTGTGAAAAGGCTCCCATCCGAGGAGCATGCTGGGGAGGACTTCAGACCAGGCTGGAGTGGACGATGGGGCATGTATGGCCTGTGGGCACTGTGGAGACTTTCAGTAAAGTGAGTTTAGGGGTTTCCCAGTGAACCAACATAATGGTTGAGTGACTTGACATTCATAAGCTGTCTAAATCGGGAAGAACAGCTTCAAAATTCAACCGGGGAAAGACTCACTTAGACACGAATTCTTCCTGCTTATTTCTCCATTCTGTGGCGAACAAGTGAACCTGCATTCTTAGTTCCAAAATATCAATGCTCTGTGATTTTCCTAGTGAAAACGCTAGACAAACACCAAGAAAATAAAAAGTCTTATTGAAAGAATAATTCCACTTTAGGAAACGGAACGTAGACCACACATCATCTGTGTGGTGATGCAAGCAAAGAGAGATGTTTTCACATCACAGAGAACAGTGTAGGGGCAGGCAGGAAACTTTCCAAGGAGCTTAATCACAAATTACTTTTTATAAATAAAAAGAAGAACGAACTGGGGAGGAGGGTAGAGAAAATAGTGCAACAATGAATGAATGAAAACCCCAAATCTCTGTAAATGTTCATTAAAATTAATAAAATTTAATTAAAAAAAAAACAATTCTTGTGTCTTTTCCCCATGCCTTTTCAGTCCAGTCCATAGTCTGAACAAATAACTCATGAAGCTAAACTCTATGAAGAACAAACATATAAATTCTTTATGTCCTGGCTCAAACTGACCGAGGTAGCATTTTCCAAAGCCCTATATGTAAAGATTTGGATGTGGGGGGGGGGGGTGTCTTGTAGTTGAATGTTGTTGTTAAGTGCCATCAAGTCAGCTGCGATTGATAGCGACCCTGTGTACAGTGGATGACCGGATCTGAGCCCTGCCGTACCCTGTGTCATCCTCATCATATCATCTCTGACAGGCTTGAGGCCTCTGTCACAGTCACTCTGACAGTCTATCCCATTGAGGGCCTTCCCCTCCTTTACTGACCCTCCATTGTTTTGAAGCATGATGTCCTTTTCCCAAGGACTCGCCTTTTGTAACAACATGTCCAGAGGATGAGAGTTCCTCTATCGTTGCCTCCAAGGAGCACACTGGCTGCACCTTTGTTGGTTTTTTTTTTTATTATTTTGTGTGCATGTACCGTCAAATCAGATCTGACTGGTACAGGAGGAGATTGCCCCTCCTTCCCCGGCAGAACATCTGGTGGATTCGAACCTTGACCTCTGGGATTGCAGTGCAGCTTCTTGCCACTAGGCCACCAGAGCTCCCCTGGCTGCACCTTTTTCAAGGTACATTTGTCCTTTTGGCGACCCATGGGATATTTAGCACTCCCTCTCCGACACCGTAACTCAAGAACATTGATCCTTCTGTTATCCTAACTCACTGGCCACCTTTTGCCTCCGTAATAAGCAGTTGAAAACATCAGGGCTTGGATCAGTTGCCCCTTGGTCTTCCACTTTGTTTTCATTGCTCTTCAGCACTTTGAAGACATCTCTGACAGCAGACTTTGCCCACTGCAGTATGACGTTTGAATTCCTGGCTACTGGAGCCAAGGATGTCGGTTGATTGTGAATTCAAGCAAGATGCAGTCATTATCAACCTCTTTGAATGGTTGAACGTCGGTCATTTCGATTCTGGGTGAAATCCTGGAAATATGAAACTGATTCATTTATTGTGAATAAATGGTATGTTGTTGTTGTTGTTGTTGTTATTGTTATGTGCTGTCAAGTCGCTTGTGACTCACAGCGACCCTATGTACAACAGCCCTAAACCCTGCTCTGTCCTGTGCCAATTGCACTGCCTCTGACACTCCCATCCCGATTATCCCAGTCACTGAATCAATCCACCTCATAGAGGGCCTTCCTCTCCTGCGCTGTCCCTCCACCCTCCCAAGCATGATGTCCCTCTCCAAGGACCTGTCCCTCCTTACAACACGCCCAAAGTATGTTAGACGAAGCCCCAGAATCCTTGCCTCCAAGGAGCAGCCTGGTTTAACCCTCTCTACGATGAATCTGTTTGTTTTCTTGGCAGTCCGTGGTACATTCAATACTCTTCTCCAGCACCACAGCTCAAAGGCATCAATTCTCCTTCTGTCCTCCCTAGTCATTGGCCAACTCTCTGATGCATAACAAGTGATAGCAAAGACCATGGCCTGTATCAGGCGCACCTTAGTCTCCAGAGAGACACCATTGCTCTTCAGTACTTTGGAGAGGTCCGTAACAGCAGACTTTCCCATTGCAGTAGACTGATTAATTTAGTGAAGGAAAATAGGCTGAATTAACTAATCTGAGATCTTGAAGATGTAAAACATTCTTTATTTGCCCAAGAGGAAGTGACTGTGCTACAGAGCATGGCATCTAGCATTTACCTAACACATAGACAACCCTGTAGGGATTATTTTTGTTTGCTTCTTTCTTTTATTACTCAACAAAATGACATTCCCCAGTGATGCAGTGGATTTTATACCCTGTTATGAAAAAAAGTGTAATAAAACGAAATCTAGGATATAGAAATTCTTCAGTATTGTGTCGATCTGTCTTACCTCTCATAACAGCTGACTTGCCTTTCTCTTTTCTCTTGTGTAAAAACAAGAACTCTTCCAGTTGTAAGATGAGGTGGTTTTGTTTTACTTTACAGGAACCCTTGACCTTCAGGGATGTGGTCATAGAGTTCTCTCCAGAGGAGTGGGAATTGCTGACCTCCGCTCAGAAGGCTCTGTACTGGGACGTGATGCTGGAGAACTACAGCAATCTGGTCTCCCTGGGTGAGTGAAGCTTCCCTCCGAAAAGGGTGACTCTCCCCTCATGCATTTCCCCTGTGAGTCTCTCCAAAGCCTCTTGCCCTGCTAGATGGCCTTGGAGCTTCATTTACAGGTGGTCGAGACTGAAGTTCATTCAGAAATGGGACGTTTAATGAGGTAGCATCACCAACCCGAACCTTCCCCTTTCTTCAGGTAATGTGCACTCTCCACGCTCTGTCACTGCTGGCTCTACCCCTTACAGCCAACTGTTAGAGCATCCCAGGATCTGTCTTTCCTTTTGTGCTTTTGATTGCATAGTTCTTGGAAGACAGCCCAAGATGGACATATTTAACCCATTCCTTACGTGTTTCAAAGGAGGCAATAAGTGAAATAGATGTTCCAAATACTCTTCTAGAGAGGTCTGTGATCTTCTAAGCTGAACAAATGACTTGGATTGTATTCTATAAACGCTCTGACCAACCATGATCCTTTTTTCTGAAAGAGCAGGAACCCTCTTCTCTTTTCTGAGATGAATATTATGTCTCTTTTGAAGACAGAGAGTCCTAGACAGTGGAGACGGAAATGAAACTAACATGTAACCCAAGTAGGTTGGTCCATGTCCAGATGGAATCCAAAGCGTCTGAGCTTCTGAAAGCTGCCGTAACAGAAATATCCCTGGCGAGTAGCTCTAACAAGCAGAAATACCTTTCCCTCCGCATGTGGGCTGCCAGCAGTTTAGAGTCAGTGCAGCATCAGAAGGAGAAGGCTTTATCTCTCAGCTCTGGGCGGAGTTCTCTGTCTCTCACAGAGATCCTTCACGTACTGTGTATTTTCCCTTCTCTGTGTCCTGGATTTCTTCTATGTTACAGGCATATTCATTTATATTTCAGAGAGTTACTGGCTTAAGACATCCTCATTAACATACCAGAAATCCCTGTTATATCCACAGTGGGATTACGTCCACAGGTACAGGGCTGGAAATTAACCACACATTATTTTTAGTGAACACCATTCGAGACATGACAATAAGTAAGAGAAGAAACTAGGCCTTCATAAATTCTAGGGGGAAGTTCTCCTCCCATTGGGTAAACACATGTTTATTTCTTGAGCTATCAAAGGAAACTTTTATTTCCTGCTCTACATGGGGTTGCTGTAGGTTGCAGGCGACTCAGTGGCACATAACAACAACAACAACATGCTATAATGGTTGTTTTTTATTTAAGCCTTTTGTTTAGAGTCAGCAAAACCTCAGGGAGGGCCTTTGTATAAAGTACTCAAGAGCAACGGTGTCTCTCTGGAGAATAAGGTGCGCCTGATACAGACCATGGTTTTTGCAATCACTTGTTAATGCATCAGAGAGTTGGACAATGACTAGGGAGGATAGAGGGAGAATTGATGCCTTTGAGCTGTGGTGCTGGAGAAGAATATTGAATGTACCATGGACTGCCAGGAAAACAAACAGATTCATCGTAGAGAGGGTTAAACCAGGCTGCTCCTTGGAGGCAAGGATTCTGGGGCTTCGCCTGACATACTTTGGACATGTTATAAGGAGACACAGGTCTTTAGAGAGGGACATCACGCTGGGCAGAGTGGAGGGACGGCGCAGGAGGGGAAGGCCCTCTATGAGGTGGATTGATTCAGTGACTGGGGTAATCAGGATGGGTGTGTCAGAGGGAATGAGATTGGCACAGGATAGAGCAGGGTTTAGGGCTGTTGTACATAGGGTCGCTATGAGTCGCAAATGACTCGACTGCACATAACAACAACAAACAACAATTGTTATATTTTGGATGAATATTCTTCTAAGTGGTACAGCACTCTTCTGTCAATATATTGTACTTAGGGTTAACCTGGGGTTGCTGTGATGTTGAACCTTGTGCCATTGGTGTGTCAAATGCCATCACAGTTACCCATGGGGCACAGTGTTTGGTGGCGCTCCCAGTTTAAGACAGGTTTGGAAGCAAGAGTGGCATTCACTTCTTAAACAACATGCCTCTGGAAACTATGAACTTTTGAGAAACGATAGTCATGAAAGACGTCAGGTCTTTTGTTCATGGGGTCGCTATGAGTCGTGCTCGACTCGACAGCAACAGCCACCTCCAGGGAGTCCTGATGACACCGTGAGTTAGGGAATTGGCTCCTAACCAAAGGGTCCATGGTTAAAACCCACCAGACAGGTCTCAGGAGAAGGAAGAGGGGCTCATGCCTCTAACCTGAAGTGGTGCCTTGGCCGTTGGCATCCACCAGCAGCTCCTTGCAAGAAAGGTGGATGGTCACCTCTCATACAGTGAGTTGTTGTTGTTGTTATGTGCCATTGAGTTGTTTGCGACTCATAGCGACCCTATGCACAACAGCCCTAAACCCTGCTCTATCCTGCGCCAACCGCACTGCTTCTGACACACCCATCCCGATTACCCCAGTCACCGAATCAATCCATCTCATAGAGGGTCTTCTTCTCCTGCACTGTCCCTCCACCCTCCCAAGCATGATGTCCCTCTCCAAGGACCTGTCCCTCCTGGCAACATGTCCAAAGTATGTCAGACGAAGCCCCAGAATCCTTGCCTCCAAGGAGTAGCTTGGTTTAATCCTCTCCAAGATGAATCTGTTTGTTTTCCTGGCAGTCCATGGTACATTCAGTACCCTTCTCCAGCACCACAGCTCAAAAGCATCCACTCTCCTTCTGTCCTCCCTAGTCACTGTCCAACTCTCCGATGCATAACAAGTGATTGCAAAGACGGTGGCCTGTATCAGGCGCACCTTAGTCTCCAGAGAGACACTGTTGCTCCTGAGTACTTTAGAGAGGTCCCTAACCGCAGACTTTCCCATCGCCATACGCTTTTTGATTTCCTGACTGCTGGTGCCAAGAGTGTTGACTGTGGAGCCGAGCAAACTGAAGCTGTGAACACTCTCAATCTCTTTGCCATCCATCCTGATGCTGCCAATTGGTCCAGTGGTGAGAATCTTTGTCTTCTTGACATTGAGCCTCAGTCCATACTGAAGGCTGCAGTCCTTGACCCTCCGCAGCAAGTGCTTCAGGTCCTCCTCAGTTTCAGGAAGCAAGGTTGTGTCATCTGCATAACGCAGATTGTTAATCGATCTTCCACCAATCCTGATGCCACAATTCTCCTCATAGAGCCCAGCCTCCCGGATAATCATACAGCGAGTAGCCTCGCAAAACCCGCTGGCGGGTCGGCTGTATGTTGACACAGGCGAGTGGAGATCGTGGAGCAGTCTGCCCTGCTCTGGAAGTCAGGTCACTAGTCGTGGGTTAGAGTGCTCTGTAATCCAGAGCCGCTCTTTCTGCTCTCACCTCTGACTGTTGTAAGATTTTGACATAATATTTAGAAATAGATGCCCAGGCCCTTCTCCCCCCTCTGTCCTGGTTCCAGTGTTACGCGGAATGCATTCAGCCTTGGGTAACCCTGCTAATATTTGAAATAGGATGGCATAGCTCTCCTGTTATAACATACATTGCACCAGAGAAAGCACACTCAAGTTCCAGAAAAACAGTATGGGTTATATGTAATCCTCTGTTCTTTGTTGTGGAATCCTATTAATATGTGTTCTTAAATGTTTGAAGACTAATAGTACAGAATTAGTAAAAATTTTGTGTATTGATGGTAGCTTAACATTATATTTTAGGATATTATTTTCCAGCTGTTGTTAATAGGCAGTTTATGATGCTTTGTATTTTTAGATGTCTTTTCTACATGTGTAATCAAGAACTTAGCAGCCAACGCGATCATCGACCAAGAAGAGTTATTCCAGAGAGTGATGGTGAAGAGACCGGGCACCAGCGAGTCTCACCTCACGCACGTCAGGGAAAAGGTGCACCAGTTCCCCACGGGGGAAGACGGAAGAAACAGCGCAAGGACTGTGCTTTCCAGCAGCGTGGTCGCTGGTGGGGAAGACCAGCTTGTTAAAAGTGATGCAAGAAACGAGTTTGTGACGTGTTTTCAAAATGCACTTGAATTAAGACTTGAGTCCCGCGTGGCTGAACTGCAGGCGTGTCCCACTGGAGAGAGCCGTCGCGTGGACACGCCTGCCGTCACTGGGTCTTCAGTGGCCTCTCTCCCAGGTATCCCTCCTAACTTCCAAAGCCTCCTTTCCAACAAATGCAGAGAAGTCTTCATGCACCCTTCCTTGTTCCTACAGCAGCAGGAAGCCCACCACAGCGAAAAGTCTTACAAATGCAACGAGTGTGGCAAAACCTTTAACTGGAGTTCAAACTTCACGAAGCACCAGCGCATCCACACCGGGGAGAAACCTTACGAATGTGACGTGTGTGGGAAGGTGTTCAGTCAGCGCTCCACCCTCAAAAGCCACCGCACGATCCATACGCGAGAGAAGCCCCACCAGTGTGCCCAGTGTGGCAAGGCCTTCTCTGGAAGGTCCACGCTCGTGGAGCACCAGCGAGTGCACAGCGGCGAGAAGCCGTACAGATGCTCCGAGTGCGGGAAGGCCTTCACCCGAAAGTCGGGTCTCGTCAAGCACCTCCAGATTCACAGTGGGGAGAGACCTTACAAATGCAGCGAGTGTGGAAGGGCCTTCAGCACCCCATCAATCCTCTGGAATCACAAGAAAACGCACACGGGCGAGGGCAAGTACAGGTGCGAGGAGTGTGGCAAGTCCTTCAAGTGGGGCTCGAATCTCACTCGGCATCAGAGAATCCACACCCCGGAGAAACCCTACCACTGCGACGTCTGTGACAAGAGCTTCAGTCACCCCGCCAACCTTCGCACTCATCAGAAGTGTCATTCCGGAGAAAGACCTTTCAAGTGCGCCGAGTGTGGTAAGGGCTTTACCCAGAAATCGGGCCTCGTGGAACATGAGCGAATTCACAGCAAGGAGAAGCCTTACACCTGCGGCGAATGCGGCAAGACGTTCAGCAGCCGCTCGGTCTTCAGGAAACACAAGATCATCCACACCGGAGAGAGCGCTTACAAGTGTACCAAGTGCGGCAAGGCTTTTTCCGAAAGACTAAAACTTGTGGAGCACGAGCGGATTCACAGTGGGGAGAGACCCCACAAGTGCGCCGACTGCGGCAAGGCCTTTGCCCGACGCTCGGGGCTTCTGGAGCACCGGCAGATTCACAGCGGAGAGAAACCCTACGTGTGCAAGGAATGCGGCAAGGCGTTTATCAGAAAAGCAGGTCTCTTGAAGCATCAGCGAATTCACAGCAGAAAGAAGCCTTCCAAGAGTGATGACTACGGCGGTGCTTTCTACAGTCCCTCGATCCTTTGGGAACACAGTCAGATGTACGCTGGAGATTTCAGTCAGACCATCGGCCTGGAGTTCAAAACTCACTAAGTAGAACTGATGCTGAACACGTACCAAGTGTTAGCACATAGTGCTTTAACAGAAATGGCATGAGTGTGTGCCGTTAACAAAAAGAAATGTATTTTCTCAAGGTTTAGAAGTCCGTTTTCTTGGTAACAGCGCTCGAGGAAAGCTTGCTTTTTCTTTGCCGGTTCTGAAGGAAGGGCCAGCGTCCTTGCAGCATCCACGAGCCTTGGCATCCTTTGGAGTTCTCCGTGTGTCTTAACATCATTTTTTCCCCTCCAGGATCTAGGGGGTCCACCACTCAGGGACCAAAGGACACACACTTCTCTCCTGGCTCTTGATTTTGAAACCCACCAAGGGGTCAGTTGAGTCTGTTCTGCGTTAACTCATCGGGGATATGCCCTGGTGAGAGGTGTTAACATCCCACTCTAACCGTCTTACAAATGACATGTTGATTATATTAGAGAGCACATCATCGGGAGTGATTACTACCTCAGCAGGTAACTGGCTCTAACCCTGTCTCAGCAACATAGAAGCTGAGGTTTACAGCTCCTAGTGGCTAATGAAAATCGATTATCAATTGAAAGATGGGCTTCCATCAGCATTCTAGGGAGTAACAAATGAAGTCTTCAAAGACTCACCAAGCTGAGATCTTCTTTTCTACAGTATATTGAAGGTTGAGTTGTGTTCAGTCTCTTGAGATGATGTTTGTTAAGAGCAAAGACATGTGTGGAAATACTTTCATTAATAAACTTGTTTCAATTAGTTGAGGTTTCGTAAAATGATTCTTGACTTTTTATGACTTTCCTACCTGGACTTGCAGTAAGAATGACTTCAAAGGTAAGAAGCAGCGCAAACCTGATCAGGCCGAAGTCAGATATATCCCGGGTGTCCCCATTCTCCCAAGATACCATACCAGTCCTTCACTTGACCCTGGCCGGTCCAGCTCCCTGCAGCAAAATCAGCCTCTTCATTTGCCTTCACCAGTTTGCTGCAGAGTCACAGGTTTCTGAACTTCACTTACGTTTCGGGTGGAAGGCGTTGCCTCTGGTGGCTTCATGGTAAAGAGTTAACCCCGCCAACCCAAAGGCATGCGGTTCAAATCCCCCAGAGGAGAAAGGTGGGTAGTCTCCTCCCATGTAATTTACAGCTTCTGGAAGTTGGTTCAGACTCAATGGCGTATAACAACATGATGGATGGGATAGAATAACTCCGATTCAGAGTCAGGAAGAGTGTAGGCAGAGTGTGGAGGATTTCTCTTGACGTTAAGAACCTATCCCTCCAGTGCAAACTAGAGTGTGCAAAAACAAGCAGGCACATCTGTCCCTCCGTCACAATCTCCTGGGCAATTTGCTGCTTTTGAAAAACCCCCGGAGGGGCAGCTTAAGAGTCACTTCCGACTCAGTGGTGCACAACAAATAAGATATCTACCTAAACTCTGGCCTTCAGGCCCTCCCATCTGGTACCTGGCTACCTCGAAGCCCTTTGGCTCTTAGCGTATCATTCTGTTTTTATTCCTTGTTGACTTTTGTTTGCAAGATATATTTCCACCTCTCTAGGTACATTTACCAGGAACACTTCGTAGGGAAGGCTTGGCCATCCACCAACATACACTTTTTAGAGTATACTTTTCTAGAAAAGGTTTGGCCATCCACTCCCAAAATAACAGTCCCCAGAAAACCGTATGTACAGTAGAGCACATTTAGATTACACTAGCAGATACAGCCTCAGAGGCAGGACCTTGCTGAGAATCACAAAGGAGAAACAGTCACAGAAAGACACTACTGATTGGAACCTGGAACGTGAGAAGTATGAATGTAGGAAATGGATTTACTCAGTGACGGGAGATGATGGGATACGGCAGGTTTGAGAGCTAGTATACATAGGGTTGCTATGAGTTGAAGGCAACTCAGTGGCACATAAGAAAAACAGGTACACTTTCTACATATGATGGATATACACAATTCAGATACTAGCATTCTCAATCCCTATAAGAATTTTATATGATCTGTCATTAAAAAAATTTAAGACTTTTTGCTTCCTACAATATAGACAAATACTCTGGGCGGGCAGAGGAAGCCCCTCTACGATTATCATAGTTTCCAGAGACATGTTGTTTAGGAAGTGGATGCCGCTCCTGCTTCCAAACCTGTCATAGAATGTTGTTGTTATGTGTCATTGAGTCATCTGTGATGCATAACAACCCTATGTACAGGAGCTCTGAACCCTTCCCTGTCCTGAGCCAGTCTCACTAATCCTGACACACCAACCCCTATTGTCCCAGTTACGGTATCATTCCATCACATCCAGGGTCTTCCTCTTCTGCACTGTCCATTGACCCTTCCGAGCATGATGTCCTTCTCCAAGGACTGATCTCTCCTGGCCATGTGCCCAAAGTAAGTGAGGCAGAGCTTCAAAGTCCTAGCCTCCAAGGAGAGACTTGGTTTCACCCTCTTCAAGCCAGACCTATTTGTTTTCTTGGCGGTCCATAGTAAGTTCAAGACTCTTCTCCAGCATCAGTCAGTCTGGTAAATTTGAAAGTCTATTGCATCTCCGTGAAACTATTAGAGGTGTTCTTAATTTCTTGTGATAGTTCCTATGGGTTGAAGTGTGTCTCCCCTAAAAGAAAATAATAGAATTCTTAATTTCTGTATGTATAAATACCCTGTTTGAAAGTATGAATTTTCTTTTACTGTGTGGGTGAGGTCCTAATTTTCTTGGTCAAATCCAGTAAACTAGTATCAAAATCATTAAACATACCAGTTCTATATTTAAATATGAATCCATAATATTGATGGATCTACAGATAATGGATTAGCGGTCAAGTTCTTCACTGTGATAGAAATCAAACTTGCAAGAAAAAAAAAAAAAGAAATCAAACTTGCATAAGAAATGATGAAACTAAAAGCTCCCCCGTTGGCAAAATAATGAGAAAGCTTTGATGATAACGAGATATGTATAAAACCTTGACGTTAATGTTCACAAGATACTTATTAATAAAGTGCGACGTTAGCAATGAAGTTGTCTAGAAGCACCGCAGTAAACACCATCAATAACAGCAGCAGTGTGGCCGGACTGATCTGTGTGTTACAGTATTCTCCGAGAAGGACTCATTCGATGGTGTGATATTCTCGGAAGACAGTAATTACAATGTCAGTCTAATCATAAAGCAGGGAGTTCTGGTGGTAAGAAGTGCTGCAACGCAGAGGCACAGAGTTGAATTCTACCAGCACAGCTCAAAGCCATCAATTCTTCAGTCACTCTCTGTCCAGCTTTAAGATTAATAGGGAGCAACTGAGAAGACATGGCTTCTAGACTGACATCGTTGCCCTTTAGCATTCTGGAGAGATTCCTGATAGTGGTGTTCCCTGAAGTAACTCCTGTTTGGATTTCCTGACTGCTGATGCCAAGAGTATTGGTTGTGCATCGTAGCGAGATGAAATTGTTAACAACCTCAGTCTCTCCTCTGTCTATCATGATGCAGCCAATGGGTCTGGTGGTGAGAATCTTTGTTTTTCAATGTTGAGATACAATCCTTATTAAGACTACAGTCCTTGGCCACCTACAGCAGACATGTCAAGTCCTCAGTTTCAGCATATAAAGTTGTGTTACTTGCATAACAGGTTGTTGATGAGTCATCTAATCTGGATGCCACATTCTTACATAAAGTCCAGGCTCCAGAGTGATCTGTTCCCACATAAAGATGTGGAGAAAGGATACATCCCTAACGCACTCCTTTCTTGATTTTAGTTAATGTTGGTGAACACAAGGGATTCTTTCTGTACTCACCGATAGGACAAATGGATTGCAGTATCCAGAGCACTTTATTGCCGATCTGGGAGAGCAGAGAGAATCCTCTCAAGAACTGCCTCCTCCTCTAAGGATGGTTATTAGTATTTATACTTCAGTTAGGTATTAATCTCCTTAGCATAATACTATTGCTAGTTCAAAACTACAGGGTTTTTACATTCAAAAGAACAGTCTACATGCAGTTACTAGTAACAGACAACTTGTGATAGAGTTTACAGATGACTAAGAAAAGTACTGTTTTAAATATACTGTTTCAGGGTATAGTTTACTCTGCCAAGCACTTTCATTTGGGGCCAGCAATGGAAGGCATGTCCTGGGCCTTTTACTGTGGCCCTTGGCTGCCAGTGGAGCTGAGCGGCTTTTGGTGGTATGATTGACCCAGCCCAAGGAGAAGGAGTGCACTGGCCAGTTTGTCTTTGCCCAGGACACTAAGGCAGCCATGGCAGGTCATCTAAAGATAAGGAAAGTGGCTGCAGAGAAATTGAATATCCCTTGGACTAATAATATTCACTTGCAAAGTAGTGGGAAAGGAAAGTCATTTCTTGCAAAGGACTCCTTGAATCTTTGTCCCTACTTCAACTTTTCTTATCAAGGGGACTATGTGATACTTGCAGGACTATGTGATACTTGCTTCTGAACCAGAGCGACAAGTTGGACTTGATATAATGAAGACCAGCTTTCCACAGAGTGCTTCAATGGAATTCTTTCATATTAAGGAAAGCAAGTTTACCATCGAAGAATGGGAAACAAACAGAAGCTCAAAGGTAAATGGACCCAGCTGGATATGTTCCCTAGAACACTGAAAGAAAGCTCCATAGAACCATTGCTGATGGACTAGGATTTGAATTACATTGAATTGAATGTGATATATCCATTAAACCTGTAGGTAGGTCAAGTTTATAAAGACACTTAAACATCAGGATAATCCATCTCAAGATAATGCAAAACCCACCCAAAGGTAGTTTAAGATTCTGACCTTCCATGATAGGGTAGCTTCTTCTGTTCCTATGATTCCTGAAGAGCATTTGGGGAATCACTCT